CAGTCCAGACCCGACTTGACTGAATTGAGCGAAAGGGGGTGTTCCCCCCCCTCGGCACTGCAATTTTGGGCACAGTCCTCTCCGGAGCTAGAACATCCAACCTGGACCCTGAGAACTTGCTGATACCAAACAAGAGGTTTGTTCCAGTTAAATTGCATAATATTTACTTATGTAGTTTTGTCGCAAGAGATAAAGCTCGCTTGCAGAGTTGGAAGAGGGGAAACTGCGGTATACTACGGGTTGCGACTTCTGCTCGTAAGATAGAAACGACGTCAGAGCTCAACGCACGAGTCTTACTCAACCTGAGATCCCCGTCGTTGAGTCAGGTGACAGTCAACAGGGTGTCCGCAGGAGGGACGAATAACACATGGGGATTATCCTACTCTTCAGTAGTGGATGACAGATGAGGTGAAAGAGAGCCAAAGAGTTTGGTCAACCCTTAGGAAGCATCACGCTGTGGAGACATCATCATGGTGCGCTCTACCTTGGCTTGCATGGCAACAAGGTAATATCACAAAAGTAGGAGGCGGTTCTGCGCGGTGGGCAAGTAGGGGGAATCGCGACAGGTGATTACAAGCCGTGGATACATATGGGGTACATTGCACAAGTGGTTAACAGGGGGACCCCCACTTTTCAGCCCCAGGTTAACACCCCCAACACTGAAAAGTGCATTTGGGGATTTTCTTTTTAGTTTTTTTAGTTTTTTTTTTGCCCTGTTTTTATTTGGTCACATACATACTAAAAAGACCACATATGACGGAGGCTAGGGACTTGGTACCAAGTACTACCAACACATGACCTACAACTATAGGTTCGTCCCCAGCATATATACATACTAGATACACACATGACTAAGGTTCATTGAACGTCCCCTCACTAAGTAGTCACTGCAGTTCTCCTTTAGTCGTGATCCCTGACTGAGATAAGTTGAAACAAATCTGTTGATGAATATACAGAACAACATTGCAGATGAACTGACCTGTGACCCAAAAAACCTCAGTATTACTCAGGTGGTGTTGGGTATGAAGGCCTACTCAGGTAGAGGAATGTCTCAGACCATCTCTACTTAAGCAGGGATCATGGTCCACATGACTGTTCGTGTACAATTCGTGCGGCACATCGGAGACCATAGACACCTATCCGGACTGATCTCGCCAGGATAATAGTTGGAAAGACTTACTAAAAAATCCCATGCACAACGCCTGCCAGTGCATCTAGCTTACCTCTATCGGTCCGCCACATCCTTAGTGGAGGGATCTGAGAGTAATGCTTCAATTGTGGCCTTTTCATTTAGATGGTGCAGGGCCTATCCCGGTTTTCCATGTCATGTACGACTTAAGGCTTAGCCCCGTTTGCCAAGACCAATCCAATCGCGAGCCGAGCCTGTATTGAGAGTTACCTTCCCGAGTCTCCGAGTACGTTCAAACACAACTTAATAGACCTCGAAGTCAAGGCTGACACCGACACATTGAGCTCATACCTCCCCTCTGCTCAGGGGATAGGATTCAAGCTCAAGGTATGGCTCATGACTGCTCTCACATTGATATGTAACGGGGTACTGCCGTCAATAATCAGAATCCGTGCGAATACTCTTTGTGTCCCCATGAACGTACAACGAGAGGTACCTCAAACAGTTCCCTCTGGGTGGTAAGTACGTTTAGTCAGTAGCGTACACCTCTCGAACAACACACAAACATTTGTCAGCGACTAACCACATTTGAATTAGAGGGTTGCACCCCTTTCATATTTTGTATTGAATGCTGACTAAGCAATTAACCAAGGAGTCGACATGACCGACATGCTGCATGGCTCTGGTAGTCCCTCTTCCTTTACTGGTTCGCGTATCGTACAAAGGGGGTAGATTGTGATATTGACTCGAGTGGCACACACCATGCCCTTCACACTATTATTAACCCTCAGGAATTGATCTCACCTAATGCATTAACTCCGAGTTCAAACCCAAAACCGTATTTAAGAGGAAACTGTTCTGAGCGCATGATATACCCACGTCCCGTTCACGGAGACTAAATGGGAGGTCAGCCTGTAGCATTCTATCTCGTAACTTTAGATATAAACTCATCAGTACCCAGGACCGAGCGCCCAAAAATAAAGAATAAACACACAATCTACGAAGCAATTCTCTTGTGCATGGAGTTAGTCCATTCTCGGTCTCTTAATCAAAGCGATGACACTCAGTGCGGGGCGTGATTGATCGTATGTAGTTAACTAGTTGAGGGTATAATAGAAATAGCTTCAGAGAGCCCATCGCGTCTCACAGAAATCATTCATCGTTCTGCACAAAGGGTAGTTGTCGGGTCCCGCAGTGTCTTTTCTTGCTTACTTATCTATGCCTGTAGGGCATTTTCGTAGTATTGACTAAACTCTCCAGCTTGCCATGATCGGTGTCTCGGTCTAGAATTCCGTGTACGTCGGTTTTTAAACCGACCATAGTGGGGCAAGCAATATGTCATCACATTTTCCCCTGTCCAGATCAGCTAGTTTTCAGACCTATACCGAAACCTAGGGTAATTCATTGTCCTTAGTCCCCATTAAGTAAGGCCTTAATACTCAAATAGACTATCCTCCTTCATTGCCATCCTTTTCCTCTGCGGCTCATTACGTCATCACTGCCAGGACAGGGTGCAGAATGACCCTGGACAAGACGAAGATGAAGGCTCATAAGTAAATTCAGATCCCCAATCGACGGGAATTGTCGTCGCCTGTTTTCCTCTTTTGCCAACTAGCCAAAGCTCATGTAGTAAACCCAACAGAGTACGCAATTGAGCTTGCTCGCTTGATTAAAGGAAAGATCGGTCAATATTTCACCCACCGAAGCTGAAACGAAACTTGGGGACGTTACATGTTCTCTTAGTCATTTGATCTTAATCTTAAGCAAACCAACTTAATTTAAAAGTTGCCACTCATCAGATAAGATTGCCCCAAGGAAAAGTTACCACCCGAGAGCAAGTGGAGCACGAGTCTTAAGTGAGAGTAGGGCATAGACACTCTCAAGCAGGATCGATCAGGGAGGTATACAGTCCCACCGGATATTAATCTCAGCTAAAGATGCATGTTTATAAAGCCAAATATCACCTGCAACGAAGAAGGGGAAAAAAGTAATGACTTATTTTACTGGATCAATTACGTGTCGTTTAACCACAACACTTCAAAAGCATTCGACTCGAGTTGTGGAGCAAGCTCAATTCTCAAGGACTAAGTTACCTGTTGTCAAATGTGGTCTGCAGCGAGCAACAGTACTCACAATTCAAACTGTAACGAATGGGCTCGCCCACAGAACTATGCACTAGCAACCCAATTGATAAAGGGTTATTACTTACGGGCTATATTGCACGCCCGGTCACGGCCGGGGGCAAAAACTCGGCCGCGGCCGTGCCCGGCGGCCGAATCGGCCAGGTTTGGCCAAGGCCGAACGGCCGAGTTTGGTGCAGGATTTTTTTTCCGTATTTTTTAGGGTAAAAAAAAAAAAAAAGGGCGTGCGGGGCTGAAAAAACCCTGCACGCCCTTTTTTTTTTTGGTTTTTTTTTTATGTTGCTGGTCGCCAAAAAAAAATGCAGAACGAAAAAAAAAA